ATGGCCCAATTGAAGAAGCTAGTTAGATGGAATGACAATATATTGAGTATTTGAGTGCAAATATCAAGCCATCAACCATTCTGCACTACTGCAGCTTCACAGTCTTCTTGATACCATCAAAGGATCGATTAATGCGACTATGCACAATTGGAAGCATCGCAAGCGTAGAATACATAGTAGAGTGTTCATTGTTGTCTAACAATAAGTGGAGACGCTTCTTCTACATCCATCCGGGATGAATACGGGTGGGTTTGGGTTAAGTCAACCTTAAGAGCAAGGTTGTGCTTAAGGGAAGAGGCATGTTACAAGTTCGTGCCATCGTAGCATTTTGGATATTACTAGGCTTGTGTATCTTCATTTAGTTATGTGTATCAATTATTATTTGACATATTTAATGGTAACACTAATTATTATATTTGTTCAAGTTGGAATAGGATTTGTAGTAATTATCTTAGAATATAATTAATGTTTCTTGTAAGGGAAGAAAAGGAATTCTAATGGAAAAAAGATGAGAGAGGCTAAAGCCTTAGGTAGTGAACTAGTGATGGCAATGGGGCGGGGCGGGTACCTCAATACCCATGCCTCGTCCCACGTTACTGTGGGTCAGGGCAGGTAAATTCGCATGGGTACGAGGTGATGCGGGTCGACCCACGCTTACATGTTATATGAACAAAAATACACGCAAATTTTACTTTTTAAGATAAAACAAATGAGAAAACACTTTATGAATGAAAAATAGTGATAATAGAATGGGTAATTGAGTCTAACAAGTTGGAAGATCGAGTGTAACTAGTTGAAGAAAAGTCAAAATTAGGAGAAATATGTATTGATACGGTAAGAAATAGAGAGCCTTCGCTACGACCAGGAAGCTTTGACGGAAGGTGGCCAAGAACGAGGCGGGGCGTGTCAGAAGTAGATACTCATGCCACGTCCCATGGTACTGCGGGGCGGGTTCAAATTGCCATAACTAGCCTTAGGTGAGAAGGAAAGAAATTTGGTTGTGTAACTCTATAAATAGGTACATAGACGAAGATTGGAACCCAATTTATGTTTTTCTTTGTCTTTGTTATTTCTTTCGTTTAGTTTAGTAGTTTTGTAGCAATTCTGGAGTTGTTCTCGTCATTAAGGAGATCCTCTACTTGAGAGATTCGACAAAACTATCCTAAAACCTGAAGATCAAACATTCACCGCAAAGAATTTAGTCTCGAAAGCACATCTACGTAACAAAATCTTTGGGTAAATTATAAGTTTGGTCACTGAGTTTACTAAAAAGGTTCACGTTTGGTCACTGAAAATATTTAGTTTCATTCTTAATCACTAAAATTAGTTAAATATTTCACGTTTGGTCACTCACCGTCCAACTCCGTTAATTTTGACTGATTTGACAGTTAACTCTCATTTAACGGTCAACTATGAGATTGACTGCCACATCAGCCAAAATTAGGGATGGCAATGGGTCGGGTCGGGGGCGGATAGTGCATATCTGTTACCCTACCCAAAGTACTTCGGGTTTTACCCATACCCATACCCACATGTGAAACGGGTACAAAATTAAAACCATGCCCATACCCGTTCGGGTTTCGGGTATCCACGGTTATCCATGGATATTAATTTCTCTTCATAACTCCAACCAATATGTTAACATTCACACGTATTCTTATATTAAGTAAGAGAAAAAGTACGACAAGAATTCACTAGAATGAAGAAAATTAACTAAAACAACACAATTTCATGAAAATGTTATATTTATATGCTAAATATGAAATATGTTAGAGAAAAATAATGATTATTTCTAGACAAAATACATATGCATGTGTATAATCGGGCGGGTTCGGGTCGGATAGTGAGAAATCCATGCCCACCCATTACCCGCAATATTCGGGTTCGGGTTTTACCCGTACCCACTAAATGTCCTTCGGGTTCGGGTTTTACCCTACCCGACTAGGCCGGATTCGGGCGGATATCCACGGTTACGGATATTTTTGCCATCCCTAGCCAAAATTAACGTAGTTGGACTGAGAGTGCTCAATCTTGAAATGTTTAACTAGTTGACCACAAACATAATTAAATATTTTCAGTGTAAATATAAACCTTTATAATAAACTCAGTGGCCAAACTTGCAATTTACCACAAAATCACCAATATTGATTTTTGCATGGGCTAAATTACACATTTGGTCACTCGAATTACATAAACATTTCACGTTTGTCACCCAAATTAATTTTCTTTCAATTTAACCACTCACTTTACGAATCGTTTCACCGTTGGTCACCCTCCGTCAGTCTCCGTCAGACTCCGTTAACGCCGTCAGATTTTTGATTACGTGGCAAACGGAAGTGCCGACTGGGCTGACAGAGAGGCTAAAAAAGACGGCACTAGGGTGCTGAAGTGGAATGGGAGGGAAAAATAACCCTTTTCCCCCATTTCAAATACTTTTTTACCTTTTTGGGAGGGGAAAAAACTCTTACCCACTATTAAAACCCTTCTCACCTCATTTTTTTTTCTTTCTCATCATCCAAATTCCAGACAACTCCTCTCCTCTTCATCGTCCTTCATCTTCTCCATCTTCCTTATTCTTCCACTTTCCTTATTCTTCCTTCTCCATCTTCTTCCTTATCCATCTAAACCATGACTAACTCATATTGTCACTGTGGGAATCCAACAAGTTTGAGGACAAGTTGGACCGATGCAAATCCAGGGCGGAGGTTCTATGGATGTGGCAAGTTTGGGGTAAGACCATTTCAATCTCACTTCCTTTCGTGCTTTATGTACCTTCTGTTTGGGTTTAGGTTCTGACCATTCCCCTCATTGTGCTTTCTTCTGTAGACGAATGGAGCATGCAATTATTTCAGATGGTATGAACCAACCCTTGATGAGCATATGCGAAACGTTGTGCTCAGCCTCCATCGTCGAATTCGAGATCTAGAGAGAAGGGAACCAAGGAGAGCTTACAAAATAACTGTCAAAATGGCTTGCATCTTCACTGTAATGGTCATTGTATTTGGTTTAATCTTGTTGGGAAAATAAGAAAATGTTGTTTCACTTGTATCACTAGAATGTTGTTTATGTTTCATCTGTACCACCGGAATGTTATTTATATTTCACGGAAGCCACTACGGATTTTTTTATATTTCATCTGTATCACTATGATTTTGATTGCATTTCATGATTTTGGTTTCGGAATCTTCCCACCACACTCCTTATAGATGTCTACCAAGTCCAAAATGGAGAGCAGATCGATATCATCGTGGTCATAGTACACAATAGTCTCATCCTGCATAAAATGCTTCCCTCTCTTCTTTTTGATTTGATAATCAACATGAACTTCAAAGCTGAATTCTCCACTACAATCACCTATTTATTTGAAAAAGAAAAAGAAAAATGTCAGAAAAAAGAATCATGCCTCCAAGCAGTAGTACGTACTAGCAATAAAGGCCATCCACCAGCATGTTAACTACCTATGTTCACCATAAAGACCAACTGACAATGGACTAAAGACAAAAGAAATAATTTTCTATTGAAATAGCATACACTATGTTGTTGTCAACCTAATAAACAACTACTATACACACATTCCACCCATAAAGACGAGAAAGTGACTACACTTACGATATTTAGGGATGGGAGCATCTGGTTGCCGCACATGTCCCCCCATATTGCTCGCCAAACGTGACAAACAACCTGAAAAACGACAGCAAAATCCCCACAGTCAAGAACTTTTATCATTTTCTAACTTTTCCCCTTTCAACACTTCGCATGACTATCATAAAAAGGGCCAAAAACAACAAGCACCTTTGTGTCTGCCCCAAAAGCACCTTTGCGTCTTGCCGAGCAACCACCACAAAGCGAATCAGAAGGTAAGGTTTAGGGTTTCTGTCGATTTCATATTGGGAAAATTTTAGGGTTTCAGTAAAACAAATTGGGAAAGGAACGAAAAGGATGGAGAAGGTTAAAATTCAAAACGTACCTCTTCAAGCCTCTGGGATCGTTGTTATTGCAGATCGGAGGGGAATGAGAGAGAGAGGGAGAGAGAGAGAGAGAGGAGGGGAATCGGCGGTGGCTATGTAGATTGACGGAGCGCCGCCAATCGTCGTCGTGGCTGGTGCGCCGCCGCCCGATCGAGCGCCTCCACTGCGGCGGCCTTACCTCCACCTCCGACCGGCGTCTCCCCTTCTCCCCTGATCGACGTCGCCGCCTCGGGTGAAAAACGCAGAGAAGAGAAGTCGAAGTCGAAGAGAAGAGAAGTGAAAAACCCCTTCTACTGCCCGATCGTTTTCACTTTTCACTTTTCAGCTTTTTCCAATAAAAATAAAAGAAAAGAAAAATGAAATACAAAAAAAGGGGTCAATTAAGTTGCTGGGTCGGGTATGTGGCTGACTAGGCAGTCAAACCCGTATTTTTTAGCCTCTCTGTCAGCCTAGTCAGCACTTCCGTTTGCCACGTCATCAAAAATCTGATGGCGTTAACGGAGTCTGACGGAGACTGACGGAGGGTGACCAACGGTGAAACGATTCGTAAAGTGAGTGGTTAAATTGAAAGAAAATTAATTTGGGTGGCAAACGTGAAAAGTTTATGTAATTCGAGTGACCAAATGTATAATTTAGCCTTTTTGCATGATACAAGACGTTTTCCTTTGTAGATTAACATTATTAGCCAGCGGTGTTTTCGACTTTTTTGCATCCTGATAAGGAAAAAGAAGATGGGAAATTTAGTTGAAAAAGCAAAAAAAATGGTGGAATTCACGTTGCCTTTGACCTTACATCGTGCTTACCATCATCTGATAATATAATTCACAACCTTTTTCTTTTTGTGTTAGCATCATTCAATTCTCCTCAACTACCACCCATCTTCATCATCCTGCCTCTAATTTAGCTGGTGCGTCGATCGACCTACCTAGGGCTACGAAACTTAACCATTACTCATTCTCACAGTCACAGAACAATGGCTACTATCAAACAAAACACACCAACCCGCAAGCAAGGTACGATTGATTTAACTGAGTAACCAACATTTTCTACCAACTGATGAGGGCATGCAAAAAAGTTAAGAGGAATACGTTGAGTAATATCCAAATGAAAACAAACTTGCTAGTTATCGTTTCATCATTCACACTTCCATCCACAATATTCGAAACAAAATGCAAAAAATCCAAGAAAAAATGGGTAAAAATGAAACGACTCTCTCTTCTATCTCAATAAAATTTTGAACACAAATCAAACAGGATGAAACCTTTTCTTCCACAAGAATGAAATGAACAATGATATCAATCTTGAACTAATGCAAATGAAATATTGGATCAAAGAAGGAAAGAGAAGAAGCTCTGCTCTGCACGCCCCAATTCGGTTTGTACCACTTTTATTCCCGTTTGTTGCAGCAGCTAGCTCAGCTGTCCTGTCCTGATCACGCGGATGGTGGAGCCCCTGAATCAACCGAGTAAGTTTGCTGCGACGTTTCATCCACAATGCCACCATCTTGCGAGCCGCTGGATCGACAAATCTCGTCAATCCTGCTACTCACCTCAGCCATGGAAGGGCGTCTGTCTGGATACTGAGCACTACAATCAATGGCAAGCTGCAACAACTGAACCATCTCTTCCTCCACATTCTGGTAGCGAAGCAGCTCGAGATCAAACACCTCGGCGGTCCATTCCTCCCTCACCACCGACTGAACCCATCTCGGAAGGTCCACACCTTCGTCATTGGTCAGCGAATGCGTGGGAGCCTTCCCAGTGAGAAGCTCCAGCAGCAGGACACCGAAGCTGTAGACGTCTGCCTTCTGGGACACCTTGTGAGCATCGGTTACTTCGGGAGCACGGTATCCGTCCACTCGGCTAGGGTTTGGGGCAGGGCCTGCAACTTGGGCTAGGCCGAAATCAGAGACACGGGCTTCGTAGGATTTGGAGAGGAGGATGTTTGATGATTTTATGTTCCCGTGAGAGATTGTGGAGCCTTGCGAATGTAGGTATGCGATCCCTCTGGCAGCTCCAAGGGCTATGATTGACCTTGTGTCCCAGTTCAATGGTGTCCTCCCTGCTCCTCTGTTTCCTGCGGTGCAAAAAATATGTAGGAGTTAAAATGACAGATCTACAACGTCAATGGAAACCCCACATGGGGAACCCAGCTGCCGCAATTGCAATGAATAAGGCTGAAGCACATGGGGTAGTGTATGCACTGATTTCCGTTGATTTAAACCAAGCAAGATTCAGCCTTTACAACAACAACAAAAACACACAAGGAAGAATGATGGATCGTATCAACTGGGGGAGGAAGGAAAGAAAATGCTGACCATGTAAAAGTGCAGACAAGCTTCCCACGGACATGTACTCATAAACCAGAAGCTTTTCATCTCTGCTGAAATAATAGGCTTTCAATGGAACCAAATTCTCATGATTCATCTTGCCAACTCCTTCGATCTTCTCTCTGTACTCCTTCTCACTCACGATCACATCCTTCAACCTCTTCACCGCCATCACTACACCCATCTCCAAGGTAGCCTTGTATGTCGTCCCAAAAGTTCCCTTCCCCAGTACTTCAGCAGAAGCTCTCAGCAAGTCTTCTAGATTGAAATTCCTTGGAGTGTTCCCGAAGAACACCAGACTCTTACTGGCTAGACCCTTGGCGTCCACCTTGGCTCCCGTCGCCGCTGCGACGGAGTGCGCTGAGCTCGACTTGGCTCCCTCGCCCGCCGCTGAAGGGTTCTGCATCTCGCTCTGGTTCGGCTCCTCAATGTCCTTGTTGGCAACCTCTTTCGAAGGTTTCCTTCTCCGGCACAAGAAGAGCAAAATCATCAAAAGCAACAGAAACCCAATCACGCACCCGATTACGATGCCGGCCACTGCGCCGCCAGACAAACTGCCTCCGCTCGAAGTTCCATTTCCGGAACTACCATTGCAGTCAGCCAAGGGTTTCCCACAGAGCAGGGAGTTGCCTTCGAAAGCTGTGGCCGGTTTCCCGGTGAGAGCCGGAGGGATTGGCCCGGCCAAATTGTTGAAAGAGACGTTGAACTGATCGAGCGGGGAAGCATTGAGGTTGGGGATTGGACCCGTGAGCTGATTGCCCTCCAAATACAGCGTGCCCAACCGGGTCAACTTGTTCAATTCCGGCGAGATTGGGCCGGAGAAGTTATTATTCGCCAAATTGAGCCTCACCAAGTTCTGCAGACCGAACAGGAAAGCCGGAATCTCACCGGTGAAGAAGTTCCCTTGTAAATAGAGATTCCTGAGCAACCCGAGATTTGCGATGTCGGCCGGAACCCCCCCTCTGAGCGCGTTGAAACGGACGGAAAGAGTGTTAAGCTGGGTGAGGTTGCCGAGCCCTACAGGGAGCTCGCCGGAGAGACCCATCCCGGGGAAGTGGAGCTCGACAACTCTGTTCCCGGCGCAAGTAACACCGGCCCAATTGCAGGGAGTGTCGGACAAGTTCCACAAGAGAGATCTGCCGCCGACAGCGCTGCGGAGGCCCACAAGCGCAGCCCTATCGGATGCCAGATCTGAATCTACCATCACCACCGCCATCGCCGTCGCCAAAAGGAACAAGAGAGGCCGGGAACGGGGCGGCAGCAGCCGCAGCAGAGGCTTCATGTCAGAAAGAAGGACGAGACACGAGAGAGAGAGATGATAAAATAAATGGGATGGGGAAGAAAGGAACGAAGAGAGCGTTGTTGAGATTTGGTCTGTCAGTGAAGGAAAAGGACTAGATGGCAGCAGCCATTGTCATGAATGAATTTGATGGAAAGGAAAGGAAGAAGATGGGAGGAAGAAGGTGAAGAGAACGTTGTTGAGGTTTCAATTTGGCTGCTGCTGCTGCTGCTTCGTTGGACGTTTGCCTCTGTCCTGGGGGTTGGCTAAAGGCTGGAAAGGGAAGACGGTGTGGTTGGCTTTGGAGCGTAGCTCAATGGATGTTTCCAAGGGGAGACAATGATAGAGTGGTTTGGCGTGTAGCGTAAGGTTCTATGCGCACTCTCCGTTTGGGGCCGCGCGCGATGCATTTGTGCGGGTAAAAAGGTCAATTTGGCATTTCTCCCCGTCTCTTTGCTTCGTTGTAATAACGCGGTTGAAAATAATGAAAGAAAAATCCATTTCCCACCCTTTCGTTTGGGAGAGAACAAAAATAATGGTTTTGCGGCCACCTACATGTTCGATCTAACTGTTGATATGACTTGAATCGGATTATCAGCCGCTACGACTGGTAACCGGGGGTCTCGCTGCCCGGTCAGCGAGTGGGGTCCAGGGGCAACGCCCCGGTGGGGGTGCGGGGGCAACGCCCCCGGCCCACGGTGTATGGGCTCAATGTTATTTGGGTTCGGGTTCTGGGCCTGGTCTGTAACCGTTTCCTTTGCTAGATTGGATTAGGTTTAGACCCACATGGAGAAGTACTATAAATACTTCTCATACTCCTCTGTAATCTGTAATCTCCTCGATATAGTGAAACTGGCTCTCTCTCGCCCGTGGACTAGCTAACACACATCGTGTTAGTGAACCACGTAAATCGTGTGTCTGTGTTCTTTCGATTCTCGCTCTCGTATTCTTGCTTTATCGATTCCGGCAATTTCCCGATCCGTAGCAGCGCGTTTATAACACTAACTAATTTGTATTTGTCACTAAAATTTAAAAGACTTAACTCACTTAAATTATACAAATTTTTCAAGTTTGTCGCTCAAATTACTTTTTTTTTATTCGTCATTAACTTTACGAATCATTTCACCATTAGCTACTAAACGTCAGTATCCATCAGATTCTATTAACTCCGTTAGTTTTTTTTGACGACGTGGCAAACAAAATTGCTAGCTGAACCGTTAATTTAATGACATATAAATTTTAATTTTTTTCAAAAAAATAATAATGACCTCCTTCCTCTTCTTTCCTTCTATGTTGTAACACCTCCGCGGCTACTTCTCAGTCTATCTCTCAATTTGCTCTCCCCCACCGCTACAGCCATCCAAAGAAGAAAATCGCAAATTCTCATCTGATTAATCTCCAACGACGGTGCGTAAAATTCTCCCCCTGCTAATTTGATTGGAAAACCGCAGTCGATCAAGCAGTCAAAATACTTGCAGACCTTACTTTTACTTCAATTTATTTGCATATTTGAGCAAACATAACAATGAAAGATTCTTAATGGTGAAATGGTTCGTAAAGTTAGTGGTGAAGAAGAAAGAAAAGTAATTCGAGTGGCAAACATAAAAGATTTGTATAATTTTAGTGACCAGTCTTGGAATTCAACCAAAATTAAAGTTTAAGATTGGGTAATTTTTTGTTTTTTGTGTAATCCTTTTTTCTTAGATTGGATACGAACTTAGGTTATGCAATTTGTAAATACGCGATTCAACCATCACAACTACTATTCTGAATGTTCGTATCCAAAATGTATTTATGTCATATACAACATGTTTTTGAGAGAATTTAGGTCATAGTAGACGAATTCAATATAGGTATGGTCCATGTTGTTGTTTTTTTGTGTGTGTGGACAAATAATTAGATTATCATATTATGGATGTTTTAATTTATTATGAATAACATCTTTGGCTTATTTAGTAAATGTTTAAGGAAAATTCTAGGTATATGTTGAAGCAAGATGCACTTCATCAAAGTCCAAACAACAACTTCCATATATTTTAATGTTTTTCATTTTTTGGTTTATTTGTTTGAAATTTAACTGGTTATATAATTTTTTTTAGTATTGTATAGGGTTTTTACTTAAAAGTGTATTCCACATAACCCAACCCCAATCATACAAAACCGTAGGATTCTAGTCTTTTTTGGTAGATTTAAATTCATTACTTTCAAAGCCAAAATATATAAATGGAATGATTAAAACAATTAACGCAAACCATCCATTCATTAGGAGTGAAAATCAATACGGTATCGGTATTCTGATACCAAAACTAAAATCCTGAATACCAAATTATAACCTAAATCAATCACAATCTCAATCCCTAAATAATTTGTGTATCCCAATCTCGTTCTTAAATATTTCGATATCTCAATCGGTAGTATTGAATAAGAAATCAATTATCTTTGCAATTAAAAATTAAATACATGAATTAGATTTTGTTGTCTAATTTAGAGCAAAGATACTAGGCAAAGGGTATTGAGTTTTCCTAGAGCTAGGACATGGATAAGGAGAAGGGAGGAAATGTGACATCTCAAATTCTTGGCATGGATAATCTTTAATTCAACGGATTGGATGCTGAGAGACAACCAATATTAGTGTTTATTTTTTGGTGTTATAAAAATAACAAGAGATTAGGTGAGAGACGAGAGTGACTTAAACTAGAAAGCCGAAATTGAGTTGAATGGGGCCTTGTAAGTGGCGAAAGAGTGAGGAATTAGCAAATGTTGTGTTTTGTATTTCATTAATTTACAAGTTTCGTTGTTTCTCGGTATTTCGGTATATATAGATCACAATCGCGTAATTCCGAACACTATTTAACACTATAAAATAAATCCCAATCTCTTAAAAATTAAATCGATATTTAATAATACCACATATTAATAAATTCAGTACAGTATTCGGTATATTCCAAACACTGATACCAAACTTCTAACCCTACCCACCTTATACTCTCTACTTTCGTTACTTCACACACACCGCCATCACCTTTTTTTTTATGGGAATCTGGATCATTCATTCAAATAAAATAAGGTTTAGGGCCCATGGCCCATATCAGCATCAATCAAACAACAAAGAGATAGAGGAGGGTTATCAACCCAAACCACTTGCTGATCCCAACCCAAACCAATGTGAGCCAACTAATGGGCCACCCCATTTGTCTTCCTAGGGCGAAAACTCCATCTCACCTCTCGTCCCGACAGGGACTCGTTCACTGTAGCCAACATTTTCAGCTCTTCACACCAGTAACCCAGCTCCGTTCGATCTTCCCCTCCTTTCCTCAGTTGGTTCATCAAAACCTGGCAATCAGACTCGATGATCAATGGGCTAAGCTCCCTTCTATTAGCTTCCCTCAAACCCATAACCAGGGCTTTTGCCTCAGCTTCAATCGATCTACAAATTCCTTCTTCCTCTTCTCCATCGCTCCCACAAAAGCTCCATGCCAGTCACGAATAATACAGCCCAGGCCGATCCCTTGATCTTTAAACACCCCCACATCAGAGTTTAGCTTGTAAAAACCTTCCGGAGGCGGAGTCCAGTGAGTCTCTTGAGGCATGCAAGCATGAGTGAGATCACCCCCAGTTTCTGTGTTATGGGAATCATGAGCATCCAGGAATGATGAAAGCCATCTCAGAGCTCGAGGAATAATCTCATCCTCCTCCATCTTCCGATTGTTGAATTTGTGATTGCAGCACTCTTTCCACATGTACCATAAAATAGAGCTAAAATTTTGAATTCGATCTTCAGGGAAATCTCTCATAACTTCCTTTATCCATTCAAAGCATGTCTTTCCTTCCCCTCTTTCAGATAGATCTTTTTCCTCACAATTCCTCAATCTTCTTCGAATCCAGTCACATTCACGAAGGGCATGCTCTTGGGTTTCTGGGAGATTGCAGAAAGGGCACTCAAGCTGCACAATCAATCCATTCCTCGACATGAACACCCACCGGTAAGATATTCTTACACAATTTCCATAGGAAAGTTCGAACCTTAGGCTGAATATGTAGCTTCCAGATAGCATTCCAAAAAACATAAAAAGTGCACACTTTCCTCGCGACGTGGTGATGATAGTCAAAATTGACGACTTGGCTTATGGTCATTGGTTCTCTCTGCAATGTGTTTTGAATCTTGCCGGACATTAAATATTCTTTATAAATTGTTTTTTCTAATAGAACAAATATTATAATATTTATGGGTAAATTGCAAGTTTGGTTAGGGAGCAGATAAGGGTGCTAAGACTTACTATAAGAGTATATTAGTAATTGTACTCTTTCACTTCCTCTTTGGCTCTTTCCCCTTTCATTCTCTTTTTCTCTCTTTTTTTTACGTTGCTTTCATTGACTTCCACATACAAAATTACAAATTTGTTCCCTAAACTTAATGGGTCTTTATATTTAGTGCATAAAATTAATTTCTTTTACATATAAGTCTTAAAAATATTGATGAAAAAATTAAATTTTAGTACCTATAAACTTTTCCTCTTACATTTTGATACCTAAGCCTTTTCAAATTTACAAATAGGTCCAATTGTATGGTATGTTTTAAGAAACTTGTAGTAGGCTTTGATAAACTTGTGGTATGTTTTAATGAACTTGTAATATGCTTTGATAAACTTGTGGAATGCTTATCCATTCCTTTTCCCTCCCTCTTCCCACTTGTGGTATGCTTTGATAAACTTGCGGTAGACTTAAATGAATCTGTGGTAGGCTTTGATGAACTTGTGGTGGACTTCGCATTCCCCTTCCCCTCCCTTTTGCTCTTCTCCTTCTCCTCTTCTCACTTGTGGTAGGCTTTCATAAACTTGCGGTAGGCTTTAACGAACTTGTTGCATGCTTCAATATTCTTGTGGTAGGCTTCCCCAAACTGCATGAGCTCGTCTTTGTCGCTTCTCCTTTTTCTACGCTGTTAACATATATCTTTGTATCATCAAATTAGTATTGTTGGACTCCCCTCTTTGCTGCAACCGATTGATTTTCATATGTCGTTGATAAGCTCAAGCCTCTGCCAGCGACATGGGCTTAAAAAAAAACACTCTGGTTGTCGAGTTTAAGCTTGTAATAGTTACTCAGTTAGTACCCCCCGGTAGTGACATACTCATCTATCAAATTGCCACGGTCAGCCGATTAGGAGATGTGTGACCTGCATGAGGGCAACGTCAAACATGAGCTCGTCCTTATAATAGTTGATTTCGACTTGACGAGCCCCTAGGTGCTTGAGTGTGCTCAACTCGATCTTTTTAACCAAATCCAGACTAGTGACGTTTGCAC